CGGGCAATGAATTCCTGGTTCCTCTCGTTTTCTTCTGTCAGGTTACGGATGGCGTAAACCGCCCACTGGTTTATAACTGTTCAACAGTGTCAAGGAATTTCTGCAAGGTCATTTTGGTGTAAAGTCTAAATATGGAGGAAAGCGTAACATGCATGCACCCTGTCAGGCCTGCAGCCATCTTTTCTTTTGGATCTTTGGCCTGCCACACTTTCTATTATTCTACTCTGCATTTTCTATTGTGGGAAAATGAGAGGGGGGATTGTACGGAGTTAGATGCTATGTAGCCACAACAAAATTCTTTCTAGAAAGCTGTTGTGGTCCAGCAGGAGCCGTTGGAGCTTCCACCACACTCCGACAGCGAGGGGCCCTATGAGTCGGCTCTGGAGGATGTGGAGGACCCTGGACAGGATTCCGACTCCGAGCAGGGTGCAGAGAGGCTGGTTGGCCACCAGGAGGCACCTGAGCCTTGGACCAGTGGGGAGGAGAGAAGGGAGTTTAATTGTGATATCATACATTGGAGCAGTGGGGAGGAGCCAATGGAATTGTTCCTGGATGCACGACACCGGAGAGCTAATAGGTGTAAGGAACAATTCCACAGTTACAGGAGATAATTGCACTCAGCCGGTGGTAATTAGGCTCCTCTCAAGACTATAAAAGGAATGATTGTGCACCCGCCCTTTTGCAGGAGTCAACGTATTCATTAAAGTTGGAGAACTTTCATGGCTAGCTTGGCAGGCTGGATTGCTGCCAAGGCCTGGACTGTGCTGGATTGCTGCCAAGGGCCTGTCTGTGTATCAATAAATCCTGGAAGTATCTTTGTCTCAGCGTGCTTTGGTATAGGACGGGGGGGGGGGGTGTCAGAACAGAAAACTATCTTTGGATAGATTTTTACTCTGAAGGCATTTTATTGAAATAAATTTGATAAAAATAAAAATAAAATCCAATTTGAATTTTAAAAAATCCAATTTAAAATTTAAAAATCTATTTTTTTTATTTTTTATTTTTAAAAAATCATTGATTTTTATCTACCCTGCAACAAGTCCATGTATGAATGGGAAGAAATGGATTAGGCACTAAGACTCTCTTCACTTTTCCCCCTCATCTGAGAGTGACCCCCTCCCAATTCCTTCCTGCTCAAATGAAACTTTAGATCCAGGTCGAATCCATTCTTACCGACTCGCTTTTTACTTCTGAAGGTGCTGCAGCTTTTTCTGCTTTCTGTTTGCATAAGGCCTCCCACTCTTCAAGAGAGGGCATCAGGCTCCAAATATCTGGCAGGAAAACCACAGTCTGCTCCTGGTAAGATGGGTTTCCCTCACGCAGGTATCTGAACTCAGCCAACCGGTACCTGACAAACATCAAGGGAAGAGAATTCAGATAAAACCATAAAAATGATTATTCCCCAAAAGGTGTCAGTCCCATCCATGGGCGCTTAGCCAGAGTTCAACCGCAGCCTGGATGCAGAGCTGTGTGCTTGAAAGTGCCTTTCAATGGTTGAATAGCATCATACGGCTGGAAGGGACCTCGGAAGTCACATAGTCCAACCCACTCCACAAGGAAAGAGACTTCTACCAGCCCAGTCAAATAGCTGTCTCTTTTTTAAAAACCTCCCGTGATGGAGAACCCACAACCCTGGAAGCAAATTATTCCATTAATTCATTGTTCTGTTAGAAATGTTCTCCTTACTTCTAGATTGCATCTCTCTCTAACAAGCTTCTGCCTATTACTTCTTGTCCTGCCCTCTGATGCCCTGGAGAATAAGTCAATCCCCTCTTCTCTGTGGCAGCCCATCAAGTACTGGAAGACGGTGATTATCATATCCTCCCTGACTTTACTAGCTAATAATATGCCCAGGAAGTCTTGGATGCTTCTCCTTGCTTGGGGTTTGCTCTTCCTTACTGCTAAAAGAAAAGCCACTGGGACACTAAACGTTCTTCTCTTGGCCCAAAACAGCGGAAGAAGAATCAGCTTCCTTAACAGAAACCATTTGGGCCAAGGAAGATAGGTTGGAAGTACTGATATGTTAGAGCGGGGGGGAGGGACCTATGGCAACTCAGTCCAGTCTCTTCTTGAAAGCATCCAGAGATAAAGCTACCACAACTTCCAAAGGCAGCTTCTGTTCTGTTGGTTGATTGTTCTTACTATCAGAAAATTTCTCATTTCCAGGTTGAATCTCTCCTTGATTACTTTCCATCCATTATTCCTTGTCTGGCCTTCGGGTCCCTTGGAAAATAGCTTCACCCCTCCTCTCTGTGACAGCCCTTCAAATATTGGAAGACTGCTATCATGTCTCCCCTGGTCCTTCTCTTCACTAGACTAGCCATCCTTAGTTCCTGCAACTGTTCATCTTATGTTTTAGCCTTTAATGTACCTAAGCAACCAACTTCCTTTATTGTTATTTTTTATACAATCTTGTGGGGCGACTTTACTAACTATCGAGGGCCACATGTGCTTCATGGGCCACAGGTTGACACACCTGCTTTAGGTAAACATGGAACAATACTTTGCTGTACAATCTACCTCAATGAGACTCAACAATTTTGGGGGGACACATTATTTATTTGGCCAAGATGACAATAATTAAAATCAAAGTTCCAGCCCCAAACCAATCTGCCATCAAGCCTTACCCCAGAACTAAATACGCAAAAATACAAAAATTAACTGCCTGCAATTCCTGCCCTAATCTAGCCCTTGTAGGATCTTCATTCATACCTTCTGTTATACCTTTCTTATGACTGGACTTCTGCCCAGATAGAATTAACTTCAGAAAATAGACTGTACTACAGAACAGAGCACATGGATTTCGTAGAAATGACAACCTCCCAATCTAGACTGAATGCCACATGTGGCAATGATTCACGGGCCCCCCAATTCTTTTCTTCCGAGGTCTGATGCTTCCCCAACAAGTCACATGTGCAGCCTGATTTACACAAAATAAGTTTGGTTGCCATGGTTATCTAGCACAAGGAAGCTATATATAACCATATTCCTTCCAACTAAACCAATGCACTCCAAGTTCCGGCATTTTTTTCTCATTGCTGATTGGGTGAAGGTAAGAGCATGTGAAGTCTTCTCTGGCTCCTAAGAGCTCATGCACAAAAGCATGTGCAAGGCCTCCAGAAAACCAGAAGCTCAGGGTCCTTGATTAACAGGGAAGTATGAGGAGGCTTCTCTGAAAAGCCCACAGGGACACAAAACCAACCAAAATCCTTGTGCCTAGCCATTGTCAGAAAATGTCAACTCATACTGGTACCCGTACCCTTTTCTCTTGGCAATGGCGCTTTCTCTAGTGATGGTTCCTCCAAGGGAGAACGTGAAGAGGAGGTGAAAATAGCCAACATAGAAATAAATGGCAGGTTGCAAAAATGAATTATATCTTTGGTTCACAGAAAGGCAAAGACAAACTTAAACTTAAAGAACAGAGTATTTGGTTTATTCCAAGGGGATCCCCAATTTTGAACAAATCAAAGGTTTTTTCACCCCCCCTTTGGGCCACATGCTACACTCCAAGAAGCAGGCAGTGCAGGGTGGAAAGCAGGTTCTGATTTATTTCAATCAAAATAACACAAGGTAAACACAACTACCATAATAGTATAACTCCATTTATTTTCCTACAGTCCCTTACACCAATTAAATATTATAATTCAACAAAATTTCTAGAAAAAGATTTCAGTAAGTCTGCTGTACAGCTTGCACGTCTGTTTCCTAGACCCCACCACTTTTGACAGATTCCTGCTGATCTTATTTTCTAATAGAAAATGTTATTTAATTTATTTAGTTAATGTAATTTGTTTCAGGCAATCGCAATATACATTAATCTGACCCACTAATCTTAGAGGTAAAATTATCCTCCAAAGCAAGCCCAATCTTCTCTTTCTACAAATAAAGTACACTTAAGAGAAATTCTTCCTTTTGGGCGGGGGGGGGGGATGTCCAGTCATACAGATCCAACTCAATGCTGCAAGGCTTTGGCACAGAAGAGTTCAAAAAATCCCTCCACACTCCTTTCTGATCAAGTGTCATGCAATAACACAATTATTACAAAATGCACCATCTAGTGGCCTAGCTGGCTATTTATTCCTCCCTTTGAGGCTATTGAAGAAGGCAAATGACTCTAATGCACCCCTTGAAGTCAAAATAAAGGAAAACAAACATTTTCAAGACCGATGAATGTACTGCCACATCAGAATCCATGGACTAGAGTTCCCCAAAAATCATGGGAAGTGATGATACAGTAATGACTTAACATCTGGGCGCCATGTAACATTCTTGCTTATATGTCTATGGAGAGTCTCAGTCATCCAGATCAGAGTTGTAGAGAATGGAAGAATTTATATTGCACAATGCAAATGACTAGCTGTCTGCAAGGAATATCAATTCTTCCATTCCCCACTATCCAGTCAGAGCTAAAGAAGCTTCTTGGATGAGAAGCGAAACNCTGCAGCCATCTTTTCTTTTGGATCTTTGGCCTTCCACACTTTCTATTATTCTACTCTGCATTTTCTATTGTGGGAAAATGAGAGGGGGGATTGTAGGAGTGAGATGCAATGTAGCCATAACAGAATTCTTTCTAGAAAGTCAAGGTCATCCTTTGTCTCTGCACCTGACCAGAACTGGATGGGTGGAAACTGCCAGCATGGCAGTGGACAATTGGACCATGGGATGGACTTGTGGTAATGGGGGGAAGATCTTGAACTTTCAATTGGATGGGGAAAACCGGGAAGCTTTCAGATTCAAGTTTTCCCAGCTGTGCCAACATGGCTCTCTTAATAAATTGGAGCTTTGAGAAATCCTTTGCCTTGGACACTGATTTAATTTTGGATGCTATTTGGAACCCTGATACTTCCATCTGAGAGAACCAAACCTACCTCAAAGGAGAGCTTCTCCCACTGCCTTCTGTACTCAAGCAAAGTGTAAAGAGAGATGTTGGTGCAACTGGGCTGCCCATTTTGCAGTGCCAGCTGAGGGTAAACAACTATGGCTGGTTCCAGTGGAGGAACTGGTGTCTCTGGTTCAGAAGTCGATGTCTCCAGAGCCGGCTCGGGGACCGGTTCAGATGGCTCCATTTCCTGCTCACAGGACTCCATTTCTTGCTCCGTAGCTGGTTCAGAAGACTGTTCAGTTTCTTCCACCTGTTTAAAAGCATCATCATTAGAGGGCAAAACATCAGAGATATATCTAGCGTATTTTCCAGAATATAAGACGCACCAAGATTTTGAAGAGGCAAATTTTTTAAAAAAAGTTTTTGCTCCCCAAAATGGCCTGTTTTTAGCAAAAACAGGTGTTTTTTGTAAAACAAAAAACGGCATGAATAGCCTTTAGGAGCCTTGTAGAGTGCTCCTGGGAACTGGGGGGGGGATGAGCAAAAATTGGGCCATTTTTTGCATAAATAGGCCTGATTTGTGTCAAAAAAAGGGGGGGCATGCATAGCCTTTAGGAGGCTTATAGAGTACTCCTGTGGGCTGGGGAAGAGGCAAAAACAAGCAAAAAATGGCCCATTTCCCCCTCATTTCTGCCCTTTCCAGCCCACAGCAGCACTCTGGAAGCCTCCTAAAGGCTATGCATGGCCATTTTGGTGAAGGAGGCGGGGTTTTAGGAGGCCAAAAATGCTGTATTCAGTGTATAAGACACACCCAGATTTTCACCCTCTTTTGGGGGGAAAAAGGTGGTCTTAAACTCCAAAAAAGACAATAAGTTGAAGATCCAAGGACTCCAGCCAAAATCCTTCCAAAGGTGGCCACCAGACTGCAATTCAGGAAGCAAGCTATTGCAATTTTTGAAGAGGAGAACAAATTAAATCAAATTTAGTTTTTCACTTGATTCCCATTGACCTCTTGGCCCTGATCTGGCTGACTTTTAAGGGGTTCTGCTCAAAAGCCAACTTTGACCCTCAGCAAAAAGTTGTATGACTTGAATCTATTTCAGGGGTCTCCAAACTTGGCAACTTTAAGACTTGTGGACTTCCACTCCCCGAATTCCCCAGCCGGCTGCAATCTACAGGTCTTAAAGTTGCCAGACTTTGCAGATCCCTGATCTAGTTAAGCAGAAGTATGCTCTCAGGAGCCAAGAATGTCTAATTTCAATTAAAGGCAAGGCCAACAATCAAATCACAGCTGTCCATTTAAACTAACGGAGGTCACAATAAAGTGAAGGTGACAAACATGCCATCCATGGAAATTTCAATGAGGTAGGATATAAAACACAAGAAGTCAAGGTGGATTTGATTTAAATCAAGTTGATTTAAATCACAATTTAAATCATTATTTAAATCACTAGTAAAAAAGGCTTGATTTAAATCAACTCGATTTAAATCGTGATTTTTAAAGAGCAGCTGTCATCTCTATCCCGCAGCAGCTCCTCCTCTGACCTGCTGTTGACATCAATATTGCAGAATGCACAGCTTCATGCTAAATAACTAAGCTCAATTTCATGCTGAATAACCTAAAGTATTAATGTATCTTAAATAGAAAACTGTTGTGGCCCAGCAGGAGCCGTTGGAGCTGCCACCAGACTCTGACAGCGAGGGGCCCTATGAGTCGGCTCTGGAGGATGTGGAGGACCCTGGACAGGATTCCGACTCCGAGCAGGGCACAGAAAGGCTGGTTGGCCACCAGGAGGCACCTGAGCCTTGGACCAGTGGGGAGGAGAGAAGGGAGTTTAATTGTGATATCATACATTGGNTATTGAAATAAATTTGATAAAAATAAAAATAAAATCCAATTTGAATTTTAAAAAATCCAATTTAAAATTTAAAAATCTATTTTTTTTATTTTTTATTTTTAAAAAATCATTGATTTTTATCTACCCTGCAACAAGTCCATGTATGAATGGGAAGAAATGGATTAGGCACTAAGACTCTCTTCACTTTTCCCCCTCATCTGAGAGTGACCCCCTCCCAATTCCTTCCTGCTCAAATGAAACTTTAGATCCAGGTCGAATCCATTCTTACCGACTCGCTTTTTACTTCTGAAGGTGCTGCAGCTTTTTCTGCTTTCTGTTTGCATAAGGCCTCCCACTCTTCAAGAGAGGGCATCAGGCTCCAAATATCTGGCAGGAAAACCACAGTCTGCTCCTGGTAAGATGGGTTTCCCTCACGCAGGTATCTGAACTCAGCCAACCGGTACCTGACAAACATCAAGGGAAGAGAATTCAGATAAAACCATAAAAATGATTATTCCCCAAAAGGTGTCAGTCCCATCCATGGGCGCTTAGCCAGAGTTCAACCGCAGCCTGGATGCAGAGCTGTGTGCTTGAAAGTGCCTTTCAATGGTTGAATAGCATCATACGGCTGGAAGGGACCTCGGAAGTCACATAGTCCAACCCACTCCACAAGGAAAGAGACTTCTACCAGCCCAGTCAAATAGCTGTCTCTTTTTTAAAAACCTCCCGTGATGGAGAACCCACAACCCTGGAAGCAAATTATTCCATTAATTCATTGTTCTGTTAGAAATGTTCTCCTTACTTCTAGATTGCATCTCTCTCTAACAAGCTTCTGCCTATTACTTCTTGTCCTGCCCTCTGATGCCCTGGAGAATAAGTCAATCCCCTCTTCTCTGTGGCAGCCCATCAAGTACTGGAAGACGGTGATTATCATATCCTCCCTGACTTTACTAGCTAATAATATGCCCAGGAAGTCTTGGATGCTTCTCCTTGCTTGGGGTTTGCTCTTCCTTACTGCTAAAAGAAAAGCCACTGGGACACTAAACGTTCTTCTCTTGGCCCAAAACAGCGGAAGAAGAATCAGCTTCCTTAACAGAAACCATTTGGGCCAAGGAAGATAGGTTGGAAGTACTGATATGTTAGAGCGGGGGGGAGGGACCTATGGCAACTCAGTCCAGTCTCTTCTTGAAAGCATCCAGAGATAAAGCTACCACAACTTCCAAAGGCAGCTTCTGTTCTGTTGGTTGATTGTTCTTACTATCAGAAAATTTCTCATTTCCAGGTTGAATCTCTCCTTGATTACTTTCCATCCATTATTCCTTGTCTGGCCTTCGGGTCCCTTGGAAAATAGCTTCACCCCTCCTCTCTGTGACAGCCCTTCAAATATTGGAAGACTGC